CAGTACTTGTACGAGGTTAATTGAAAAATACTATTTCTTTTGTTTTTTATAGCACAAGTATTTGTAAATCAAAAATGAATATAAAATGAGCACTGTACACTTTGTGTTCTGTGTCGTAATCGAAATCAATATATTTGAAAATGTAGAAAACATCCAAAAATATTTATATAAATGCTATTCTATCATTATTTAACAGTGCGATTTAAAAAAATTAATTGCACTTAATCACAATTAATCCCTTGACAGCCCTACGAAGAAACATTGCAAAACTCTGCTCACCCAGGATGAGCAATGATTTTGTGGACAAGGTTGAGTGAAATAGCATACTTTTTTTTCATTATAGTTAACAATGTGGCAAAGAGCAAGTGAATGGATTTTGCTCACTGCTAAATTTTCATGACATTAGTGAATGTAAATGAAAGTAAAATAATTTTTCTTCCTATGCAAATTCAGCAGATGTTTAGCCTATAAAGAATAAGGGCACCTAATTGAATAGAAAAAGGCCATGTTATAATATGTGAGCTAAAGTCTCTTCTCCAGCCGAGCTGTGCTCAGTGCAGGACTGGGGAAGGGGAGGAAAATCTGGCTTTTAAGCTCCTTTTACACTTCCCTGAGCCCCAAGGCTGCTCTAACTTACACCTTGCTGCCCACAGCCTCAAGGGGCCACTCCAGCAGCCAGAGCTCAACTTGGCTCAGGGACTTTCTGGCCACACCCACTTTCTTGTGGACATGCCCTTCCTCTGATGTGTGGAAAGGGGAGTGGTGTATGATTTGCGAAGGTGACTGTAACCCATCCAAAGATTGTCCTGAGCACAGAGAGTCGTCAAGAGGCAAGTTAAGAAAACTTTAGGATTGCCATGCACTGCCTTGACGCAGTGCAGAGCAGCTGTTGAAGGCCCAAAGATCTGACCCCATGTTTTGTGCTTCCCGGTAACTGGGAAAATGGGCATTTAGCCTACAGTGTCTATTTTTTCATCTGTATTATACTGGTTACTCTTTATGCTTAAATTGCGTGGCTTTCTATTATAAAATGACTGAGGCTGACCACAATCTTTGAGCTTAACTTTATTACATTAATATGGGCAGCCACATCTCCTCTTATATCAACATGTTCAGGCAAATATGTCCAGCTTTTTCTAAATGCTGATCTCCACTTACGCTGCAGAGGGGAGCAAAAGCAATAAGGAATTGGGTAGTGATGCGGAAGGGAGATGCCAGTCCAACTAAATTAACTCCTCTTCTGCACCTTCTCCCCTTCTTGCAGCAACAGAAGGATGCAGGTGCAATGGAAAAATAAAAGCAACACTGCCGGAGAGGGAGTAACGAGGGAGAGTAAGTCCAGACAGCAATGAGGGATCCAGATTGGTTCCCTTTATGCACTCCTGAATCATGATCCAATGGGGAGGCAAACTACAGAGGTTTTTCAAATTGCACTCCCTTTGCCAAAGCACCAGAGCTGGAGTTCGTCCTTCTTCAGAGGAGAATGGGAAGATAACTCTGCCAGGTAAACTCTTCTCTATGTTTTGTTAAAGTTTTTGTTTAGGAATTTCCATAGTTTTAGAGGTAACTGTTGTTTAAAAAAAAACAGGAATGCATGGGACCTTTAGGTCAAAGGGATCAATATAACTTGGGACATAGAGATTTGAGCATCGTATGAGATCTGTGTGGATCATTCATTACACCGCTTATGAGGTCCACAGGAGTCCCTGTAGGATTGAGTTTGGACTTGAAATCTACACTCTTATAGTGCATCTAGCTTGCTGGTACACATTAGGACTTTAAGAACTCCGTGGCCTGTGATTATATTGAACTCCAGACCATCCGCCTAGAGGTGGGGTGGGGGGGGGACATGAAAAGAAGGTGTGTATTTGGGGTAGGGAGGATTGAAAACAGAAAATGTTTCACTAAAATATCTAGCTCTAGAGCTTGCAGGTTTATAAATCATATGGCATTCACAGGCATGGGAGTGGTTAATTGACATGGTGGTAAAAAGTCAGAAGCCCAAGGAGCTTTTGGGCTCACATTGGCAGGCTCACCTGTACAGCTGGACTGGTAGATGCACTAGTGGAGAATTATTTTTGATACAATTCTCTACTGCAATCAAGGTCTAAAGAAAGAAGGCCAAGTTGGTCTCCTTGGTCATTCAATCCTTGTTCCCTCCACCCAGACTACAATTGCTAACTAGTGCCAACGAGGGTTTTTTTGCTTTGAACACCGGTCCACTAGAGACTGGACAGAGCCCACAAAAGGGATCTCCTGTAGGGTTTAAACATCCATTAGATAGTACCAGCTTTCAGGCCCTACCAATCTGGCTTGGATTTGGACCAACAGCATCTGAACTGATCCTCAGCCATCTAGCCCCTTCTTTCCTGGGTGTCTCAAATGTAGTGTAAAAACCTTAATTTAGGAGTACAGTAGCAGACTGCTGAGGACGTTTCTCAAGCAAGTCACAAGCTGTGCTATACACGTATGTCTCATCGCAATCACAGATATCCCACGTCTAGCCTGAAGTGCTGTTCTTAACCTTCAGCTTGCACATGAATACAAGTTATTCCAGTGCTACAGAATGTGAGAGCAGTTCTGTTCCTTAAAAGACCTTTGTACATTCTGTGGTCACAATTCTTCGTAATCATGTTGTGGGGTGACTACTGAGAGAACTGTTTCTAGCACCTTCCATCAGAGGTTCTCAAAATACATTACAAACTTTAATTAACAAAACCTCCCCTGATCCTGCTGAGGTGGGTATGCACTTCCACCCCCATTCTATAGATGGATAAATGGAGGCACACATGGTTTCTTTAAGACCGCGTTAGAGCCAGAAAGGAGAATTCAGACCTCCTGAGGTCCCTGTTCCAACCATTAGATCCCACCACACCGATTGTAAAAAAAGGAATGTTCACCCTTCCCCTAGCCATGGCTACCAGTTTTATGTGCTGAACTCCTGGTCTGGTGTGAGCTAATCTCAGGCTTGTCACAATTTGTATGATATTTGGAGGGGGAGGGGGGTTGGAGAGGGAAGGGGATAAAGATTTTCAGTGTCTCATTGAAACATGTTGTAAAATGCTTCATAACAAGAGCAAGAGACATTTATACCTGTCTGAAACTGAATCCAAACAGAGACAGTCTTGTTGCCAATGAGGGAAACTTGGCAGGACTGTTTTCTTGCGTCGCCAGTGTCTGTCTGTGTGGGAAGCTTTGAACAAAGACGCTCTAGTCCCCTAGGGTCCTGGCACTCCCAGGGCAAAACCAGTCCCTTCCCCTCTTTTTCCTCTAACTCTCTCACATGCATGCACTCCTGCGTTTGCGCGCTCAGTACAACTAGCTACAACAACAACAAATTAAACCCTACAGTGCTGGTAAACTTACAGGAAAGGAAGATTTAAAAAAAAGAGAAAGAGCTGGAGCAAAGCCAGCGTCCCCGAATGACTCCAGCTCACCAGCCCGCCCCTGAATGACGTGCTCCACCCCCTCCTCCCCAGAGGGCAGCCATGGCTAAGCCTTGTTCTCTTCATAAGAGAGAGGAGTTCCCCTTCTCCCTCTCTGGGTTTCTAGTTAGTTTGAGAGCTCAGGAACCTTGCAACTTTATCTTGCATTTAAAAGGAAAGCAAAGATGAAGCATAAGGGGGCAATGTTAATAGACTTTCCCCAAAAATCAAGCAGCAAAACCCTTTGCATCAGTCAGAGGAAACAAAAGCTGGGCAAGACAGTGCAAGGCAAGCTGGCTACGGTACCAAGGATTCAGCATGCCTCTGGCCATGTGGCACAGGGAATATGTCACCACCCACCCACAACTTAACATTCCATATTACTCTCTCCGCTTCCCCAACACCGAACTCAAAGCCTAAAACTAGAAGGGCTCTCATCCCATGTGCCACATTGGGGGGGGGGGCGCTGTGGGATGTCATCTGCATCAAAGCTAAAACTAATTATGGCTGGTAATTTGTTCCAAGTATTTAGTTTTTATTTTTCCTTATGCTATTTATCTGTGGCCATACTTGAATTGTTACAAATGTGTTCGTTGTTTGAAGTTATTCAGAGAACGGCCCATGCAAGCAAGCTCTAGTCTGTGTGTGGTTCTCAAGGTGCTCGCTACGACTATGGCTGCGAGCGAGCATTGGCCACCTAAAGCTTGCGGTGCTCCCTAACGGCTGGCCTAACCCTTCTCTCTCCAGGAGTGGGGCTTGGCTAAGTTTCAAGATGGCCATGTTAACACTTCCAGCACACAACTCTGTGTGGCCGTTTTCATGTGAGTACTCACAAGATTTTTACTTTTTCTGTGTACATTCTTGCTAGCCAAAAGAAGTGCTTGTATGAACGTTCACAGAAAACAACTTAAGAGAGTCTCGAACACTGGTCAAACTCAGCTGGTGGTTTGCATTCAAATGGATGTTTGTACCTGAGGATGTGGCCAGCTGCCACCACAGCCCCTTGGAGATCGTTCTTACAAGTGTATCGGGGAGGGGGAACACAGGAAATACCTCCCTGGGTCTCTCTCTCAACCTCTCCCCATTCTGTTCTGGGCCACTCAAGTGTCTACTGCATAGAAAGAAACACACTGACTCAGGTGTCACTAAAATGTTTAATTTTAAATTCATGGATGTGGGTGTTGGAGCTTGCATAGGAGGTGATGGGCTGCTGATTTCAAGGTAGTGCCAGAAGCAGAGGGTAGGGAGCTGTAGGCAAGAGGGGATGCAGACATAAGAAGCAGTGGGTGGGATAAGAGGAATTACATGAGGGGGGCTAGCAGCTGAGAATTACAGCTCTGTGGAACCGTCTGCTTACACCTCTAACACTTCATACGTACGACTAAAGCAATGAAAATAATAAAGTTAGCTTCACATGGATGACAACTAGAATTATTATTCCCCAAAGTTTTATTGTGGGCTTGAGTTCTGAAAGATGAAATCATAATGTTGGCCAAATGCAAGTTGGGGGAGGGGTCTACTTATTCATTTATGACAAATTGTAATGAATAAATCTTTGGCCAGCTAGTAACTAACCTGTGTGGGTCCTTAGATGAGCTTTGAGATGGGAAGATTTGCCATAAACTTTTTCGCACCCCACGTAGTGGCATTTGTGCTTTTTCTGGGGTGACTCGGGGTCAGCCCGGTTTCTTCCCCGTCTGCTCCTTTGTTTGGGGCTTGGCTCGCTTACTGCAGCCAGGCTAGTAGGTGTGGCTGCTTTTCCTTCTCCACGCTTGCCGGCTGGGGAGACACTTTCCTCCCCAAACTCCTGAGGAGGAAAAGAAGGACTTAGTTTTTCCCTGTTATCGATGCTCTCTGTTTTTTCCATCCGAACGGTGGCAGAATTTGGGACATGCTGGTTAAGATCTGCTAAAATCCTGGCCACCACAAACAGCGACGATCCATTGTCTTTCCCGGTCTCTCTTACTTCCCGCTTATTTTCTCCATTTGATAGAGGAGGAGGTACTGCTGCATCAGGTCGGGGATCTGCGTCCCCTTTGGGACTGTGGATAATAGCACGATTGGACATAAAAACAAGGCACTCGGCTGCAAAATGATCCACGTATGCTGCTGTTGCCATTTTTCATAGGTGTGTTTAAAAAAAAAAAATTGCACGTTTTCCCTTAAAAAAAAAAAAAAACAACACACAAAAACAAGCAGACTTTTCCCCTCCTATGTCTTAGGATCCCTTTGTAGAAGCCAGGGCTGACTGAGCAGCTATCCTAAATGCACTCTGTTTGTGAGATTGCACCCAGCTTGTCACTAAAGAGAAAAGGCATTTAAAGTCCAATGAAAGAAAAAAATCATAACTCTGGCAGCTTGTTGCTTTAAGTGGGAATTAACGTTGATCTTCTAGAGTGCAATGAAATGACAAAAATGCAGTTTCTCTAACCCGTCCATTGCATTGTGACAGTAGAATAAGCTTTCTCCGTTATTGCTCCTCTGAGTGTTTCAGAGCCCCGTGGGGGCGTGGCCTGGAAAAACATCTGGGTGTGATGTCACAGAGAGCCACATCCTGGGTTGATCAGGTTAGCAATGAACATAGACTTCAGCTGCTGCTGCTGCTGCTGCACTGAGAGAGAGAGAGAAAACAGCACCGTACAAACAGAGATGTGGCTGTGAGCTTGAAGTCAGCAAGGGAATAAAAAAGCAGGCAAATGAAACAAAGAGTGCGATTGGTTCAGGGAAGGTGTTGCATAGGCCAATCAAAGTGTCTATGCGGAAACCTCCACATTTGCAAATTTCAAGTAGCCAATTAAATTCTTCTTACTTTATGACTCAGCAGGAGGCAGAAATTCAAGATAATCTTTGGCTCATTTCTGTGAAATCTTCCTTGCAGAAACAAGCTCATTGATTCTGGGTGTGTTTTTCTATGATACAGAAAAGGAATAGGCTGGTGAACTGAACATACGCACTCTCTCTCTCTCTCTCTCTCTCTCACGCTCCATGAACTTTAGTTTTCAGGATTGTGCAATGATTAACCACGTCATTGTTTTCTAATGTTATTCCTTCTGTAGTTCCTTAACAACTTCAGGGCATCGTATATTTAACCTTTTACTAGTTGAGGCACTTTAATAGGCATTGATTTCTAAAAGGCAGGAATTAAACAACTTTCTAAATGTGAATGAGACAACTAGCATAGGAAAATGGAAAGCTTTACAGAGTCTCAAGGTATGGCTAAAAAACTGGAGTTCCTCTTTGGGACTAGATGGTTTTATGCTGTCAAAAACCAGGTTTAACTAAGTACAAAGAAACACTGTTTAAAATACCACCTGCATAGGCCCTATAAACAATAGCACCTTTTCTGGCTATTTAAAAATAAAAATGGCAATAACTTTTTTTTTTTTTTATTCCCAACCTGTAGGAGAAATACCCTATAAACTATTCAGGCTATTTGTTTTTCTTATGTTAGTGTGAGTGAATGAATAAGCGGGTATGATGTGTTTGTGTGAAGAAGTTATTGAGGGAAAACATAAAAGTCAGTTTGAATTTAATTCTTAGTTTTGTGGTCATTCTTATTTCTTGTTAGTGTGTTCATGGGCTAGTAGTCCAGTGCTTGTGAAAGACCCGTCTCTCACACTTATGAGCCTTTTGTCACCCCTTTTCTGGGAGGAAGCAGACTTCAAGGTCTTGCCAATTAACCTTGTCAGAAAAGTTAGGTTGGGGTGGGATATTTCTGTGGAAAATTTTGACTTTTCATCAAAAAAATTTGGCCAAAAAAAAAAAAAAAATCAGTTTCTGTCAGAGAAAATAGAAATAAGATGTTATTTTCAGTTGGTTTAACCTGAACTAAAATATTTCGGCTTGTCAAACCAAAACATTTGTTTGAGTAGTTCAACCTTAAACATAGCCATAGCACATTGTGGGAGCTGCAATTCGGGTGCCTCGTGCTCTACTCTCCCCTAAGGGATGGTCTCTCTGACTGGACTAGATCTCCCATAATCAACCAGGTCTCCCCTCTCACTGCCCCCCAGGGAATCTTGTGGCAGATGTAATCGAGCCAGAGAGCTCGGTCCACAGACCAGAATGCAGAAGCATGAGATAGCTTAGTGGCTTAGCAAGATGTGGTTAAATGTCAAGTTGGGCCAAAACATTTTGATTCAGGAATATCAATGTTTTGTTTTGATCGAACATGTCTAAACAAAGTGTTTCACCATTTCCAAATTGAAAGTTTGGGGTTTCACGTGTACGTTGAAATTTTCTGCAGAAAGCAGACATTTTTCATAAATAATTTTGTTTCTTCAAAAACCTCACTTTTCAAGTGAAAAACAGTTCTGATGGAAAGTTTCTGACCAGTCCTACTCGAAGACCAGTATCCTCTTTGTGGCAGAAATCCAATGAGACAGTCATATTTACACAATGTACACAAGTCCTGTTTCCGGGAATGGGGTGGTAACAAATGGCACACACTCAGCTCCGGTTTGGAGAAGCAGCTGGTAACGCCACACAATGCTATCCCAAGAAGTAGATGCCTTGGCCCTCTCTCTCTCCAAGGCCTCACACAAAACTCAGGGCTTGTCTACACAGGGAAATTTACTGGCATAACTATAATAGTATAATTATATCACTCTGTGTATACCAGTGTAACTTTGGTTTTTTGCTTTTTTCCAATTGAATTTGTCACTCTGGAAGCTAACATATACCAATATTGTTGTGCAAATAAATCTCCCCATGTAGACAAGTCCTCAGACAGATCCAAATGTTTAAGAACATTGTGTCCCCTTTCTCCCCTCTCAGCCCCTGCACTTTATACCTGGAAAGCCCTTGTCCAAGACATTCCAGATTGCATGGTCTTTGTCTCTCTTGGTCAATGTCCTGGCTGTTAATCCTCCTTGTGTGCAGCTGCTTTGTAACACAAATGAAGCACAGACGGGTGTAATGGCCCTGACAGACTCACACAAATAGCCCTTAATGACTCTCTGGGTGTGGTTAATGCATGGCATCTTTAATTCTTTTTCTGGAGAGTTTCACCCTGGGTGCTTATATTTTAATGGCCCCTGATGTACATGACATTAGCACCTTTTATCCTAACACTGTCCTACTGCAGGGAATATCATGGGGCAGCCGAACTCATGGAGAAAGCTTAGGCTGAGATTCATGTTCTGTGGCTGCTTTGAGTTACCAACAAACCCTAGGTAGGGGGTGAGTTTGGGTACTAATTCTCTCAGAGCACACAGTAACATTGTCCAACAACAAATAGAACTTTCATTTGTATAAATGTGCATAAAATTGGAAACAGTCTACTTAATTGTAAACTCCACAACAAGCCCACCCCAGCACAGTTCAATTTGTTCCACTGCCCACTCCAAGCACAGCCAGGATAACAATGCCTTCCAACAAACTGATTCTGCATTTATTAAAAACACCCAACACATTTAATTCTGCCCCACTTCGCACCCAGACTTTGGATTCTGCCCTCCCAGACATACAACCAATACTTGATTCTGCCACCTCCCCAGAGAGATAAAACAAATGCCCCACACACATTTGATTCCCCTACCTTTTTGTTAATTCTGTCTCTGTTGCCTTTGTTCTTTGCCAAGTCACAGCTCTGCCTCTCCTGCTGGCCTCTGCTCCTTGCTCTCCCTCTCCTCCCACAAAAAGACCAGCTGCTGGAGTGGAAAGAGACCCACCACCCAGATTCTTCATCCTCTCACCCTCCAGCCTTGGCAGTGGGGGCCAACAGTGGGAGCAACTTCAGCCTTACTGCACGCTGGGGGTGGGGTCAGCAGTAGGAGCTGCAGAGCTCAGCTGGCATGGAGTTTCTATTTCCCATCCAGCTCAGCTTTAGTGCTGGAGATCCTGTGTTTCCATGGGGGCACAAGCTGCCCGTCAGCATATGGAGCAGCTCTGATTGGCTTCTTTGGCCCAGGAAGTAGGGGGAATAAAGGTAGCCAATCAAACAGGGATTTCCATTTAGGCTGAGGGGTTTGCCTACAAACCCTAGAAGACTTAGACAATTTGTATTGACATGGGGGGGAGAACCTCATAGGCTTAGCAGGTCTTCTGAGTTTAGCATCCATCCTTTCTTCCTTCCTGGTTGGTAACGCAAAAGCAATAACATAACTCTTACTCTCCCTGAGGCTGGCTGCCCCTAGTGTTCCCAAAGAGGAAATGAAGGAGACTTCACTCTCCGAAGGTAGGCCTCCCAGGAGAGGAACATAGAGATGTCCCTGGAAGATGTGAGAAGGGCCATTTAGCAGGCTCTCCGAAGAAGATACCAGCAGGTTCTATGCCATGCTCTGCTATGTGCTTTTATCACATGGCTGAGCCAGGTGTATACTTGCAGGGGTGGGGAGGGGGTGAAGAAGAAAGTTGGCATGACAGTGGTGCTTTACTCTGTCATTACCACCTGACTGTAAAATGAAGACATTGGGGGCTTTGCCAACATCTGCTTAGGAATCCGAGACCTCAAGACATTTTTGTTACACTAGTCTCATGAAAGGAGCACTGTCTTCCCTTTTTTTTTTTTTTTTTTTTTTTTTTTAATGTGTAGAACAGCAGACTATAATACAGCGTGTTTATCATCCAGACATAAACTTCCAACTGTTTAATGGAAGATTCTGTAGCAATCAGTATGAAATAGCAAACCTTAACTATTTACCTCTGTAAGCAATAGCAGTAACAATCAGACTCTCTGCAAAATGTTATCTTAGTGGTGTTGGGCTGTCTTCATACCACTCATCTTTCCCTCATTAAACCAGTCTCAAAACCATCATGAAAATTTACCAGAGTAGACACAAAATCTACTCAACTATTCTTTGTTGTGATGATAGATGATGATTTTTTTTTGTTCTCATCAAAAAATTATTCACCCTGCACAAGTGGGCAAGTAGAATTTTTGCAGGGCTGCACTAGATCCAAAGTTGGCCTGTATTAAGCATATTGCAAGTGTTTACTTGTATTTTCATCAGACAGGCTGAATCATGAAATTGAGATACCAAAAATGTTTTACTGGAATTAATCCTACTTCCCTTTTTTAATTTTCTCATGCTATTGGGCTATGTTTTTGCAATGCTCTTAGTTTAGAGGAATTTAGGCCATATACTGAAGTGAGAGCTCCTTTCTATGTTCTGTTGATGTTTTTCTATCTACTCAAAGAAGTAAATTGGCCTAATTTTTTTAGTTTATTTGTATGTATGGGTTCTTCTATTCATAATACATAGCTTAGGCTTCCCTTTATCTACAATGCATTATGGTGATTTTAAAATAAAGGGCTAGGTCGTGAGCTGCAAGCCAGGGTGTGAATGCACAGTGAACTAGCCTGCTGCACACTGACTGACTGTGTGGACTCTGCAACTGCACACTAAAAGTTCCATAGTGTGCTTTGATGTATGGTGTGCTATGGAACTTTTAATGCACAGCACGCTCGTACGCCGTACATTGCCACCCCACCTTGCTGCATACTAACCAGCCATGTAGACAAGCCCTAAAAAATAGTATGGGATGGGCATTGGCAAGCAGCAGCCCAGATTAGCCACCCCAAGTACATACCCACGGGCTTTAGGTGGGTTTGTACTTGGGGCGGCTAGCCCATGCTGCTGC